CAGATCACAGTCTGTCCTGCTATTTACCATTATTGGAACACCCTTTATTAGCGAATCTTTTGAGCTACCGATATTTTTTAAAATTTTGCTGCAATGTACATCGGAATTTCTTTTGTCTGCGATTTTAATTAAATAAAAATGTATTTTCGTAGAGTAGATGTACGATTTAGTTTAAAATTGTTGTCACATCGTAAATTGTCAATGAAATATAGGTAACTGTCATAATCTTTGCGTTAATGTGTTAGAAATAATCATACTTGATTAACGGGTCGATAGTCATATTTATATTTCTCCATCCTCACGCAAACACACGCGCATGCGCACGTATGCTGCGATTAAGTGTGTGTTTGTCGTATGTATAAATGGCTATGGGTTAAAAGTGTGGATAGATTGTGTATTTAAGTGTTGGGGTCAGCTCTAAGCTAAGGATTGACTGTAGTGAGCATCACCCCTACCACCACACTCTTTTTACTCCATTAAATTCCTTTTGTAGGAGCCGCCGGAAGTTCAAGGGTCAAGCGAATTGAATGGCAGACGGTATTAGCGAAAGTTCAACATCAACCTCATGAGTTTCATTTAAAAACGTAGGGAGGAAACAAAAGATAGCTGGTGGGGTTGGTGTTGGTAAAAAGGGTAATGATATTTAGAGAAAGAGGGACGAAAAACGAGGAAAGAGAAAGGAGACCTCTTTTTTTTTTCCTGTTTTTTTGTTAAGGAGGGGAGGAAAGATAAGAAGAAGGGTGTGGGAAGAGAGACGTAAAAGAAGAACTCAAAGAGAGGCTGGTTGTCATGTGATACGGTAAGCTCCCCCGATTGGACGCGGTTCTATGGCTGTTGTCATCAATACTACTATTTACGCTACGACTGAAACTAATGTCGCGTCTGTCGTGCCGAAAACCACGTTTACATTCCCCCCTCTCTCTCTCTCTCTCTCTCTCTCTCTCCCTCTCTCTCTCCCCACTCTCTCCCCCACTCTCTCTCTCTCTCTTAAAGTCTCAAGTTGATTCGTGTTTTTTCGCTGGAATAAAAAAGCGCTAAACAGAATTCCCGTCAGCAAGGGAGAAATGTGGAGGTGCTCAGGTAACACAACGATTATGGGTGCGAAAAGCGGCAAAGGCGTCACGACACCCTCGTAAGCCGTTTACGGTCGTAGGGTTCACCTATATACTTCAGCCATAGCAACAGTGTGTAGGGCAGGGATTCTTAACCTTTTGATGATTCCAGACCCCCAATAGATTGTCCAATATGGTCCCATACCCGCTTCACTTGACTGTCGAAATAATTATCACCAATCCTATTCTTTGCCAGTATGTCTTCTAAATATTTCAATCGCTTGAATTTACTGTACTTTAGATATGGATTGCTAGGAACAGAACATGAAAAAAAAAACCCCATAAGCATTGATAATTATATTATATTTTTTTTACTGAAAGCAAAATAAAGTTATAATTCAGTTTTATTACAAATCGAGTCCCATATCCCCAGCATTTGGTTCCCATACCCACAAGGGGTATGAATAACCCCTGGTTAAGAAACCCTGGTGTAATGCCTACGGCTGGTTTTAAACTCATAGTTTTTCTTAGACTGATTGCCAACTCTAATTTTACTTATAAAAATCAATTAAAAGCTTTTTCCCAATTAAATAATATCTTATTTATTGACTTTATGTTACGATTCAGAGCAGACTTTCGGTAAATCGTGTTTCTGTTTTACAAACGAAAATTGGTGAATTGAATTCTCCAAGGAGGCACGATCGTTTAATCGAAGAGCCGAGTTCGAATTCCAGTCGAACCTATTACATTCACTTATGTGATAATAATTTAAGGAAAGGCATGAAAACTCTTCTCCCTCCAGCTATGGGTAAATAGCAGGACAGACAGGGATCTATAGACTTGGATGGCAACTGGTCTACTGAAGAAAGAATTGGCAACCTACTGTTGGAAAAAATCTGCCTCGTCAGTCATGTATCGAAAGATACATGATCGCCTAGGCACGTATCACGCATGGCACATAACTAACTGACTGACTTTCCATTCGAACCCATTATATTCACTTACGTGCTAATACTCTTGGGAAAGGTATGCATCCTCTTTTTCTCCCCACTCCCCGTTATAGGTAAATAGCAGGACAGACTAGGTTCTATAGCCTTGAATGGCAACTGGTCTACCAGAAACACCTGCGGGAAAAAATCTACCTCGTCAGTCATGTATCGAAAGATACATGATCGCCTAAGCATGTATCACGCATGGCACATAACTGACTGAAATTTTCCAAGGGGTTCTGCTTTTAAATAATATAAATACAGGGTCACCCCCCAAAATGGGAATTTTTGAACTGCGTATTGCCAGACATGAGCAAGTGGCAATACTACGAGACAGTGACCTTGAGAAAGTAATCATTTCGCCATTTAGAATTCAAGATGAAATTCTGAGATGTTGCAGCAGCCAATGAGGAATCTCAACAGCAGATTTCAAGAATGCATTCGTACAGGAGGACGCCATCTACAGGACGTAATTTTAAAAAAAATGAAAATTCCATCATTGTTTCTTAAATGACATGTTTTAAGGTTTCAATTACTATGAATAAAATATTTTTCTTCCATGACTCTTGGTGTTATTGGATTGCTAAAAAGTTCCTGTTTTTTATTTGTCTCCCTGTATTAAGGGCGTGAAATTTAATTTCTCGAAATTTTATAAAATTAAGTAAATGGTGTGCAACAGATGTGTACTGATAAATCACCAATTACCTTCCCTTAAGATTTAGGAGATATAAAAGCACCCTGAAATATTCGTTATGAGTAGTCAGAGTAAAGTGTAATAAAACGTTGGCAAAAGTTTATTCACTGGTTCTGTTTTTACGACAATATGTAAAATAAATATTTTTACCAAATTTTTCGAAAATTTAAACTTCTACAATATTTCTACTCATTTGTGATTAAGTCCTGAATGTTTCATCAAAATCCGATTTTTTGCAGAAATTTTCAAATCAATGTATATTTTTACCGCCAAAAACCAAAGAAAAAAAAAAAGCTAAAATTTCCTACACTAATTATTAACTAATTTTTTCCCCTTTCCTACCCCCGATGTAAGAAAAACAGGATTTTTAACCAAAATTTCGGACCTGCTGGAAAGGATTAAAAAATTTAATTTGATAACAAAAAACAATTTGCTCTTTCCTTTTGACGATAAAACTTTTATTTATATCAAGTGTTATATACCGTACTTATGAACACCAGTGGGTATATCCCAATCCTCATAAATACGTTGTATGTGGGGGTAATATGCTGTCTAAATAGTCTACCTCTAGCTGTGGTTTACCTACTTCGCGCCGCTGGCGAGTATTGTATTTTGTTGATGTTATAAAGATGACCATTTCATTTCCAACCCCCGTTTTGGTCATTCCTCATTCAGTAACCTTTTCTAGGTTACAACATCAAGTTTGGGGTATTTTTCATGATGGTATGCTATTTTTTCAGCGAATTAATCGTGTTACTTATTTAATAGTCTGTTATGTGCCATACGTGATATACGCATAGGCGATCATGTATCTTTCGATACATAATTGACGAGGCAGATTTTTTTCCCCGCAGTAGGTTGCCGTTTCTTTCCGTGGTAGACCAGTTGCCATCCAAGGCTATAGAACCCGATATGTCCTGCTATTTTATATCTGGGAGGAGAAGAAGGGTATTAGCACGTAAGTGAATGTAATGGATTCAACTGGAAAGTCAGTCAGTCAGCTATGTGCCATGCATGATTCACGCGTAACCGATCATGCATCATTCGATACATGACTGACGAGGCAGATTTTTTCCCCGCAGTAGGTTGCCATTTCTTTCTACGGTAGTTGCCCTCCAAGGCTATAGAACTCGGTCTGTCCTCTTCTTCTCGCCCCATAGCTTGGGGGGGGGGGAGAAGAAGAGGATACATACCTTTCCCAAGGGTATTAACACATAAGTGAATGTAAGGCATTCAACTGGAAAGTCAGTTATATGCCATGCGTAATAATACACGCTTAGGCGATCATGTATCTTTCGATACATGACTGACATTTTCTGCTGTAGACCAGTTGCCATCCAACGCTACAGTGATCGGTCTGTCCTTTTTTTGTCCTGCTATTTACACATGAGAAGGAGAAGATGATTCATACATGTCCCAAGGGTATTAACACATAAGTGAAGGTAATGGATTCGACTGGAATTCGAACTCGGCTCTCCGATTCCTCAGTCAGTTGTCATTATTTTAATTCAGAATGTATATGAATGTAAAGAAAAATCATAAAAAAGCAAATGTTGATAAGATAACACGGGTCACAAGGCACTGCCTGAGACCCACAATCCAGCTTGTTGAGTCGGGAGTAGTACGCACCGGCCCTGGAAACCAGAATCCTTATCTGGCGCATGAGGTGTTCTTGTATGGGGAAATGTCGAGGAGACTTTATCAATTTTTGTACGTCTACCAAATTCCACTTCAATAATCGGCCTTGTTGTCACTGTCTGCTCGCGCAGAAGTGAGGATAACTAGGCGTATATAGCTATCCAACTAGAAAGAAGACGACGATGCTAGACGCTTGGAAAGTCTACCGAGCAAAGTGAAAGTAGATACTCATAGGGCCAAGCTACAAGCCGCTCTATTACGAATCACATCCCATAGCAGAAGGAAACTGATCCTTGCCAACCAAGTCCGATAAAAAGAATCATAAAAGCATGACCACTTAGTGAGAGGAATTTAACACTTGGAGATTCTTGACTATTTTTGCTTTGCTAATTCTTTGATCATCTTTTCATATCTCTTTCGGTTTATCGTGAAATGTAACGTCGATATAGATACAAAGAAGCCTATCTATATACCTGTGTTTCTCTAAGATTATGTCGCTGCATGCTTATCTCTAGACGCACAGAGGTGTACATATGAACATAGATGGATAGATAATAAGCCAACAATATACCAACAACCTCAGATAGATACATACATACATACATACATACATAAAAAAAAAAAAACCAAAAGATAGATAGATAGATAGATAGATAGATAGATAGATTTAAATATAGATAGAGATACATACATACATACATAGAAAAAAAGAAAAAGACTACCAAAGATAGATAGATAGATAGATAGATAGATAGATAGATTTAAATATTTTCACATAGTTATATAGATACATACATACATACATAGAAAAAAAGAAAAAGATAGATAGATAGATAGATAGATAGATAGATAGATAGATAGATAGATAGATAGATTTAAATATTTTCACATAGTTATATAGATACATACATACATACATAGAAAAAAGAAAAAGATTACCTTAGATAGATAGATAGATAGATAGATAGATAGATAGATAGATAGATTTAAATATTTTCTGGATATAGATAGATACATAGATTAGATAGATAGATAGATAGATAGATAGATAGATAGATAGATAGATAGAAAAAACGAAAAAGACTACCATAGATAGATAGATAGATAGATAGATAGATAGATAGATAGATCTGGAATAGATAGATAGATAGATAGATAGATCTGGAATAGATAGATAGATAGATAGATAGATAGATAGATAGATAGATAGATACATACATACATACATACATACATAGTAAAAACAGAAAAAGATTACCATAGATAGATAGATAGATAGATAGATAGATAGATAGAAACAGTTCTGCTTAAATGCTATATACAGAAAGTCCTCGAGTTACGTCGGACCCGATGTAAGGCGTTTCGTGGTTCCGGCACCATCTCTTATATATAATGCGCCGTTACGCGGTGCTATATGAGGAAGGCAGTGTTGTTTCTTCACAGGCCGTATGCCATATTAAAATGAGCTACATTAGCTCTCTCTCTCTCTCTCTCTGTGTCTCTGTCTCTGTCTCTCTCTCACTCTCTCTCTCTCGTTTATGTTGTTTTCTTTTGGGAATTTCTGCCCTTCATAAATGGCTCCCAAGCGTAAGGCAGTCTCGTGCCTGCTTATGTAGTTGAGTTCTGATCTCCATCAAAAATGAGGTTAGGTTGCGCCGTAGGAACGGGTCTCGGACGCGAGTCGAGGCCCCCCTGTACCTGGAATAAATATCATCTCCCAGGAAAACATACGCGACTTTATTGCCTTTCTTCGCAACAAGAACAAGTCTCTCACCGTCTTCAAATTAACCAACGGCCCCTCTCTACTGATTACTTTTGATCGTAAACCGTGCACACCCACTCAAATCAATAAATAAACAGTATTTCCAGGTGAGTCTAGCTCCCGTTTTAGTCACTTAATGATAACTTTGAAATATATCCACGACCCCCTCCTTTTTTTTTTTTTACTGTGTTTCCTTAGATAACCAGAATGAAAATGATATTCAATGATGCTTTGGAGAATTAAGCTCATCTTTTTAGATCCCGGGTAGCTTAAGGTTTGGTTATGTTATGTGCATGAAGGCGTAGATACGAGATAATCCCTTTTATGCCAGGAGTGTTCGACGTTTTCTTGGAGGGCTACTTTAAAAAATTTAAGTGATGAAGAGGATCGGTCATCTACAAAAACATGACTTTTTTTTTTTAGACAGGACATATTTTTTAATGTACAAAGACTGATTGTAACGGCAACTTGTATTCACATTTTCATCAGATAGATAGATAGATAGATAGATAGATCTGAGATAGATAGATTAGGAATAGATAGATAGATAGCTAGATAGATCTGGGATAGATATATCTGAGATAGATAGATACATTTGAGATAGAAAGAGAGATAGAACTGAGATAGATAGATAGATAGATAGATAGATAGATAGATAGATCTGAAATAGATAGATAGATAGATAGATAGATAGATATGAAAAGACCGAGATAGATCTGAGATACATAGATAGATAGATAGATAGATAGATAGATAGATAGATAGGGAATAGACATATAGATCTTGGATAGATAGATAGATAGATAGATAGATAGATAGATAGATATGAAAAGACCGAGATACATAGATAGATACATTTGAGATAGATAGATAGATTGATAGATAGATAGATAGATAGATAGATAGATAGATAGATAGATAAATCTGAAATAGATAGATAGATAAATCTGAAACAGATAGATAGATAGATAGATAGATGGATAGATAGATCTTGGATAGATAGATAGATATGAAAAGACCGAGATAGATAGATAGATAGATAGATAGATAGATAGATAGATAGATAGATAGATAGATAGATAGTGATGTAATGGAATAACCTGGCACCCTCATGAATGGCAGAATTATAGGTGGTAACCCCCTATAAGTATTCGTCAGGACAGCGGCTGGGAGAGTCGAGCTGGGATCTTCCCCAGCTGCGCTAGTCGAACTCTCTGCTTTAGGGCAGAAAGGAACCCGGACGAGGCTGAAGGGTAGAGTTTCGTCCGGGGAGGTAGACAGTCCCGATCCCGTTTATGCGGTGTCTACGGCCTCGGGAAACCCACTTTAAATTCGGCCTTGTGCCACATGTAACTGCGTGGGGCAGTTACTAAATAGAGTCGATCTGGGATCAGCGAGGACTAGCGGCATTCCGATAGAAGCCCGCACACAACTGTACTGACTTGCAAAGACCGTGCGCATAACTATTAATTTCTTGCTTGTTGTACTGGTTTCTACAATAAACCTGTTACTATTTATCCACCGTGTTTACCCATTCCATATTCCTATTAGCACGGAATATAACAGATAGATAGATAGATAGATAGATAGATAGATAGATAGATAGATAGATCTGGAATAGAGAGATTGATCTAGAATATATATATATATATATATATATATATATATATATATATATATATATATATAGATAGATAGATAGATAGATCTGAGATAGATAGAAAGATAGATAGATAGATAGATCTGAGATAGATAGATAGATATAGAATATATATATATATATATAGATATATATATAGATAGATAGATAGATAGATCTGAGATAGATAGAAACATAGATAGATCGATCTGAGATAGATAGATCTGAGATAGATCTGAGATAGATAGATAGATAGACAGATCTAGAATATATATATATATATATATATAGATAGATAGATAGATAGATAGATAGATAGATAGGTAGATAGATAGATCTGAGATAGATAGAAAGATAGATAAATCTGAGATAGATAGATAGATAGATCTAGAATATATATATATATATATACATATATATATATATATATATATATAGATAGATAGAAAGATAGATAGATCTGAGATAGATAGATAGATAGATAGATCTAGAATATATATATATATATATATATATATATATATATATATATATATATAGATAGATAGATAGATAGATAGATAGATAGATCTGAGATAGATAGAAACATAGATAGATAGATCTGAGATAGATAGATAGATAGATAGATAGATAGATAGATAGATAAATCTGAGATAGATAGATAGACAGATCTAGAATATATATATATATATATATATATATATATATATAGATAGATAGATAGATAGATAGATCTAGAATATATATATATATATATATATATATATATAGATAGATAGATAGATAGATAGATGAAGATAGATATATCTGAGATAGATAGAAAGATAGATAGATCTGAGATAATTAGATAAATAGATAGATAGATAGATAGATAGATAGATAGATAGATCTAGAATATATATATATATATATATATATATATATATATATATATATATATATATATATAGATACAGATAGATTTGATTACATAATTTTTTTTTGTCTTTGTACAACTTTTCAATGACAGCTTTTACAGATGTCGTGGCAATCCTTAGCTGACTCGCCAAATTATCATCAGTAAGCTGACGTCTACATTTCGCTTGATCCTTGAAAAAAACAAAATCTGTTCCCAGCAGTATGTGCTTCCTAACAAAGAGATCATTTTAATGGCATCTTGTGTCAAATTCCTATATTTTCCACCTACATACTTTGAATAAAATGTCATCAAATCCTTCTCACTGTATGCTCTTTTGAAATCCATATCTGACTGCAAATCAATATGCTTAATTTGATAACAGGTCAACACTGACTTCAGCTGCCGTTTCAAATGGTTGAGCAAACAGTCTTAATTTCTTTACATATTTTCTGAAATCCACAAGCCTGTTGACGAATTGTTCTCTCAGTTACTTGCAATATATTTTGTACAAGTGAAGTCAGGGATCACTCCTTTACTTGCTTCCAGGCAGGGAAAAATGACATGCTTCGCAGACCACCTGTTGTACGCCCCTGCTTTGTACTAACGAACTAGCATACATACGCACGAGTCCGGTGCGTACAATACCCGAACCACCCGACTAGAGAGGGCCCAAGCCTGACTGGGGATCCCGGGCAATGCTATCCTATCAACATATTTTGTTTTCTACCTAATTTTTATATACTTTACAAATTAAACTAAGCACAACTGACTATTAAAAGATTACAAATTTTCACGGATTTTGACGTCCTTATGGGGTCTTTTTTCGTCCAAGTCCGTGATTTTTTTTGTCATGCTAAGACTCAAAAAAAAAAAAACAATATAAGATTCACTATTTTTCACCCATAATTTTGAATGTGTTAAAATGATAGAGTTTTAAAAAGAAAAATCTCAAGTTGATGCTAAAAATTGCCACAAAACATTGTTGATTTATTTAAGATGGAATGATCTATTATGACATGTCTCTAATTTGTATTTAGATACATTGGATTTATTTTCAATTTTTCTAGTTGAATTGTTCACTTATATTGCGTATAATCCATTATTGTAGGTTATAATAAAATTTTATTTTATAAAACATTACCTTTTGAAAATTGTTTTTAGAGTGTATTATTTTTAGATTTTGTCCAAAATACACTTCTATTTACATTTTTTTTCAATTGTAAAATGATGAGACCTTGCTAATAATATTATTATTAAATTATTATTATTATTATTATAGATCATCATTATTATCATTACCATTATTTGTTGATTTATTTAAGATGGAATGATCTATTATGACATACCATTAATTTGTATTTAGATTATTATTTATTATCAACGGACTCATCATT